GCTATTTTTTGGTTGCAGCCGTCGTTGTTTGGCGGGCCCGGGCTGGATTCGAACCCGCCACCTTAGGTGTATGTGGCTGGCGCCTTAGCCACTTGAGCCACAGGCGCCGAGCCTTAAAAGGGGTTCTTTTTCCTATTCTTTTGAAAACTTGCTAAGTTTGTACTCACTTTATCAATACCAGTCATAATTTCCTACATTTTACTTATATTCCCTCCTTTCAGATTAAAACAATGGAATGTTTAATCTTCGTGTCCCATCATCATGACTAGTTTCTCCTTTTCTGGATTTTTTTAGTCGTATTTGTCGGGTTTTAGATTTGTTGACCAGTACTATAAGCAGTATTATTCCAGGTGTACATAATGCAGCATGAGCTAAGCATTATGTTATCTAACCTTCCCAAGGTGTTCACAGGAACATTTTGGTAATGGCCAAAAGAAAAGAAAGAAAACAACCCAAATGACCATCATAGTGAACTGGTTAAAAATTGTGTTTATACAGTGGAATACCACTCAGCAAGTTAAAAGATTTAAGTAGTGCTACATTTATTGACACTGAAAGTAAACAAGATATATTATGGAATTTAGAAAATAAGATGCAAAATATTATGTATAATAAAATCTCATTTGTATAAAATAAACTTATATTGACTATGACAGAAATAATTGGAGACAGATAAACCAAACTATTAACAGTGATTATCGCTATAAAGTGGAATTGTGGAGGGCTTTTTGTCACTATGTTATTATGTAATTATTTAAATTTTTTAATAATGAGGATGCATTACTATTCTGATTAGGAAAAAAAATAACAAACAAGGATTATGTCAACGAGAAAAAGGAACTTGGTGAATGGTAGGCCATTACAGGGCATTCAGCCACAGTATTATAAGAATTCTAAACTCCAAGAACTAAGCAATCTGATCAGTATTTCAAATGAGGCAAGGTTCTGCTTAAGCTTGGCATAAGTTTTCCTTATGCTTAAATATATGCTTAATTGCATATATTTATGTCCAATTATAATGCCTATGGGGTACCCCACCTCTACTATACTTCCAGGTAGACATAGTGATTTTCTGAGCTAAAATTCTGGTAAAGAATTCTTTCCTTCCTATATACCAGCAACCTACTGATATGTCTTCTCAGGTCTATTGGGGAAAAAAACTATGCATTTTAACTTCCTAACTACTTGAAAACTCTACCTCAGGAACTTCTAAAAAGATCACTGTCTGCTTTAAAGTCACAAAGTATCTTCCAGGTATTAATATTTGGGTAGAAGATTTTAACACAATGAAAATATGTTAAAGGTAAAAAGCAAAACCATAGACTGATATTTGTACTAATTTGCTTCACTGATAGATGCTTGTCCTGAAGTTCAGCTAACACGGAACCTTGCTCAAATGGTGGAGTAGAACACATAGATCAAAATTCACCTTTGCCACTTGTGTACAATCTTCAGTAGTCTGAGATGTATTGAACTCCATTTGTAAACATTCATTTCCAGCATCGATAAAACTGCCTCCCTCTTTTCTACGAGAGACAGGTGCTGTCTTGTCTTCTGACAATGTGTTCAGAGCTGCTAATAATTCAGCTGGCAATGCGTCATCTTTTGTATTTTCTAGTAAATCTCTATGATACGCTGACAAAGCATTCAAAGGTATTGATATAGAACTTGGAGAATCACTCAATGGGTTCATCAATTCTCTAGGATCAAAATCATTCATTATTTCAAACAATCTTTCCTCTTGGGTGCTTTCCGGTGATGTTATTAACCTTTCTAAGGCAGACACAAAAGTTTCAAGAGAACTTTCTTCATCCTTAGTTTCTTCAGAACTCAAGGTCAATGTGACTTCCTTTCCAGGCTCAGAAAATGTATTTGGTACTGCTAAGATTGTCTCTGGTGTTATTAGTGATTTCTCCTTTGTAGCAACCATATCAGATACTGTAGTAGCAGTACCTGAAAGAAGGCTAGCTTCAGGAGAGTCTCTCTCTTCATTTAGATCCTGTGTATTCCAAACAGAAACTACATCATTACAGCATATACGATAAAGTATTTAAAATGAAAACTTTATAGTTTCATAGTTTATCGTTACTCCCCAAATTTTTATCAACAGTCCTCCTCTTTAATAAATACAACAACAAATGCTCTTTACTACTTTCCTATAACAAATCACTAATTACTGAATACACGGTTAAGTACTGAATAGTGGACCAAGGGTAAAACTGGCTGGACCATAATTACAAGTGGCAAATTGTTCCACTACGTTTAAATTATCTGTGCTAACTAATAAGGCAGAGATGGACGAATAGTTAAATTAATAGATGATCTCAAAACTTCACAGCAAGTAATGGTTATAAAATTTTCCCTTGCAAAAAAAATTCTATGTCATTTTATAAAAAATATTAATGAGGAATAAAATTGGTGTCATTCCATCTTTTTATTCCCCATCTGTGTATGACTAAGTAAATGTGAAACAAAAAAGCCAAAGAGGAGGGAAAAAGAGGAGAAATGAGGGCACAGTTCTGTGATTATAAGCCCTGGCAATAAATTAATGGCTCTGTATTGTGGTTATTTTAAACAAAAAACACAAAACTTAACATTTCTAAATGAATAGTACCTTTCACCAATATCACCTTAATAGGTTATACCTATTCTCACAATGTCTCCAATGCTCAAAATATTGTTAGAATCCCTCTTTTTGAAATTGCTTTCAAAATCAGTTTATAAGCCATTCAAGAAAATAATGTGCTTCAAAGTTACTGATATTTTTTTCAACACTAACAAATTGTTAATTTGATTGGCCTTAAGTAAATGAATAGGTTTCATTGACTTGTTTTTTCCAAAAATCAAATCTACCTTCTTTTTGACAGGACATTCTGTAATTTGTAAGCCTTCTAATATTCTGATCTGATTTGAATCAGAGAAGTTAAAACCATTTTATTCTTCCTCCTGTGTTTTCTACCTGCCACCATTTATCTATTCTCTATATAGCATACAGAACTTAAGAAGATATATTTGCTTATTAGTAATGCTAACTATAATTTTCTCAGAAAGGTAAAAGAATTTGAAAGAAGTTCAAGAACCACATCCTACTCATCAAGTCACAGCTCAAGGCTTTGTTCCCAGTTGAAGTCTTTATATCTACTAAATTCAAGACAGTAGATGTATGTATATTAGGCTCTGTGCTAATGGAATTTAATGTCTAACTGATGATTCAAGGTATAAATGTCTAAGACATTAAACAAAAGACAAATAATGACACAGAACAATTATGAAATCAAATGTATAGCATAAATTAGTATATAGGAAGCAGTCCCACAGAGCCTAGTGTCTTGCAAGAATCAATTTTCTGGGGAGTGGGGAAAGCAGGGAATGATTTTCACAGGTGTTTGAAAAATGCTTGGTTAAACAGGTTACTTCAGCACAGGATTTTTCAAAGCACATGCACTGTAAATCTCTGAGGAGACTTTAGGACACAGTGTTCTCCCAACTTTTTTGTCCAAAAAGTCTTTTTTCTTAGAAGATCTATTAATGTCATAGGGTGCAAGTGGTTAGAAAATACTTATATAGGTTCGGCGCCTGTGGCTCAAGTGGCTAAGGCGCCAGCCACATACACCTACCATGGCGGGTTCAAATCCAGCCCGGGTGGGTGGTGCCTGTGGCTCAAGGAGCAGGGTGCTGGTCCCATATACTGGAGGTGGCAGGTTCATACCCAGCCCCAGCCAAAAAAACCCTGCAATTTAAAATCCAGCCCAGGCCCACCAAAAAAAACAACAATGACGGCTGCAACCAAAAAATAGCTGGGCCTGTGGTCCCAGCTACTTGGGAGGCTGAGGCAACAGACTCACTTGAGCCCAGGAGTTGGAGGTTGCTGTGAGCTGTGATGCCACAGCACTCCACCCAAGGGGACAGCTTGAGGCTTTGTCTCAAAAAAAAAAAAAAAAAAAAAAAAAAAAGAAAAGAAAAGAAAATACTTATATAATCAATGAACAATGAATGCCAGCAAGAGAGCAATTACTTTGATGAAGATCGCTAGAGTCATCCGAAACAGACATACAGAACAGAAGGGACACGAGCCAGATACTAAAGACTGCAGAAGAGTTAAAGGAGGAACACCTGTCTTTGAAGCACAAAGTAGATGCCAAACATCATTACTGCTCAGTCCTCAAAATAACTCTGTGAAATGTATATCATTGTTGGTATTTTATAGATATAAACAAGAATTATCCTTGGCACCTCATCCCATCTGGTTCCATGTTTTATGCCATGATATTGTATACCATAGTTATGGTAGGGCTGGCCTGAGAAGGTCTTTGATTTGGTATCCCTAAGGAGAGTGTCAGTCCACTGTGCACAGCCAGTCTTTAGTCCTCTGTTTCCCCACAGCAACAAACAGAAAGCAAAACCAAAGAGGGCACCTGATATTGATTAGCAACCAGAACATGGAAAAGCACAAAATATTAAAGGAACTAGGGTAACAGACAAATCAACAGAAGAAATTTTGTAATATCATCTCAGGGACTATTTTTATAACAAGTCATATATATATACATATATATATATATTTCTACTATAGATAAAGAGTAAGAGACTTACAATATTGGATAAGAAAACAAATCAATAAATACTATTTTATTAGAGATACGGAAGAAAAATACTGGAAGAATTGACCAAACAAGAACAGATTTCTCTCTACTGAAATGGTTTAGTCATATTCCTAGCTAAGAGAAAGTCTAAACAAGCTTGATACTTTAATTAACATAATTAAAAAAATCTAAATACATGATTTACATAGTTAATCTCTCTTATACAAACCAACCTTTTCTAGGTGTGACAAAACTTCAGGATTTTCAGACTCAGGCCCTGGAAAAGAACAATGTTTTAATTCCAGTTTTATTAAAGGACTAAAACATACCCTATCATCTAGTATTTCATAATCATATAACTTGAACTCCCTCAAATACCAAATGACACATCAAGTACTGCATCAATATTATATAAACATATTAATACAACAGTATTACTATTTGGGGAATGAAATTATAAAATTCCTCCATTTCTTTCTTTTTTTTTTTTGAGACAGAGCCTCAAGCTGTCCCCCTGGGTAGAGTGCCGTGATATCACAGCTCACAGCAACCTCCAACTCCTGGGCTCAGGTGAGTCTCCCGCCTCTGCCTCCCAAGTAGCTGGGACTACAGGCGCCCACCACAGCACCCGGCTATTTTTTGGTTGCAGCCGTCATTGTTTGGCAGCCCAGGCTGGATTCGAACCTGCCACTTTAGGTGTATGTGGCTGGCGCCTTAGCCACTTAAGCCACAGGTGCTGAGCCAATTCCTCCATTTCTTAAAACAAATTTTTCATTGACCCAAACAAACTATAATTATTTAAAGTTGTTTTAACTAAAAATCAATATAACTATTTTGACTGAATTATTCTAAGGTAGTTTTTGTAACTACAAGAGAAAAAATTGTATCTACTTTCTCAGTGTCATTATTCTCCTCTTTTATAGATAAGAACATCAAATGAATTGATGCTGCCCGGAGTTAGGTATGAAAAGAACACCTAGTGTTTGGGGCAAAAGGAATCAGGAGAATACTGTAGAGAATATGGAGGACTGCTGCTTTGCCTCTGTGATTTCAACTTTACCGTCCACTCTAAACCTGCCCCCTCTGAGATGAACTAGCAGAAAGCAATTCACATCAAGTTAGGCTATAGGAAGATCTGGAAAAAAACATACAAATACTTCTCCTTCTCTACTCCTTTTGCCTTCTCACTTTTACCATCAAGATGCAGGTATTCTGACATAGCTGGGACTACAGGCTATGCCACAACACCCAGCTATTTTCAGAAATGGGGTCATTCTAGCTCAGGTTGGTCTCAAACTCCTAAGCTCAGGCAATACACCAGCCTCGGCATCCCAGAGTGCTGGGATTATAGGCGTAAGCCACCTCGCCCAGCCCCAACTTACTATTTTTATTTTTTTTCAACTTACTATTTCTAAAATTTGATATATTAACAAAATATTTTATAGTAATTAGAAGGAATTATTTTTTCTAACTATAAATTTTACTTAAAGAGTTTTTACAAATACAAAAAGAATTCTTCTTGAAGTCTTCTCTATCCTTTAATAAATTATTAAAAGGTTTTGTACATTTTCTACTTACTGCCTGAGAGAGACAAAATGTAGTGGTATATATGAGAAATAATTCTAACGTGCCAAACACAATGAAATGGACGGAAGAGCTAAGTTTGAACTTACACAAACTTTAATTTATACACAAGCATTTTAAGGCCAATACTATTATGTGTGTTTAAGATAGTTTGCTAATTTCTATCTTTATCCAATTTGGTTACAACTACCCTTTGAATTGGGAGAGAGAAGACAGAACTGTTAGAGTCAGCTATAAAAGTTAACAATTGAACAGTTTACTTATATGTGATTTAATCTACATTCTGGGATTATAATATGAGGTTCTTGTTAAAAATGAATAGTCTAAAAGGAGAGAACTGTAGTGAAATACCAAATCTATGGGTCTCTAGTCACAGCAGCTTTAGGGCAGCAGGAAATACCACAAAGCAATAATCCTTGTGCATGTGGCACTTTTAAAGGAAAAGCCCTAAGACATGTGACTCAGAAGTTCAAGGAAGGTGGTGAAACAGTACACAGATATCAATAGCATCACAAGGGAGCAAGGGCTCTCAGAAGGCCAAATGGGCAAGAGGCTGGAGTTATGGGAAATATAAGACATAGTGAACCCCTGTTTTTTATACATACTAGAATTAGATATGAGAAAAATGGAAATAGATCATTTGTGTAACTATCAATGACATCGGTTAGCATGGTCAAAACCCAAGGGAGAAAAAGGAATGCCCAAGGCATGGTATCACCCACAATACCTCTGTCTCAAATTGCTCAAGATATCCTTACAAAAAAGGACTTCAGCTTCTCTGATGACAACTCTATAGGTTTATAAACGATTCTTTTGGTTTATCTACAACTGTATGTTATAAAAGGTACTCAATAAGTTTTCACTAAATTTGGAGGACTTTTTTGGCACTGTCTGAATTTATTAGGCTGTTTGACATTAATCTTTCTTAAAATCATAAAATCTTTTGTATTTGGAGAGAACATCAGTAACTATTTGTACTTGTATTTGTTTAATGGTCAATTTATTAAACTTACATATATAATACATGGAAACTTGAAAATTACTGTTTCTTTAACATTGATTGCAAAATTAAATTCCCTTAAACAATCCAAACTAAAATTTTGACATGGTTAATTTTTTACCACTTTAAGTATCTTATATAAAAGACAAGCACACATAAATACAATAGTTATAAAACTTATTAAACTAATTCTAAAATAACAGTATGTTTGGTATAATTCATTCTTTATTTCTATATTTACTCCTATACTCTCCTTTTCTTTGAGAGAGAGACTCACTATGTCACCCTCAGTAGAGTACTGTAGTGTCACAGCTCACAGCAACCTCAAACTCTTGGGTTTAAGCAATTCTTTTGCCTCAGTCTCCCAAGTATCTGGGACTACAGGCGCCTGCTACAAATGTCCAGCTATTTTTGTTATTGTTGTTGTCATTACTGTTTAGCAGGCCCAGGCTGGGTTTAAACCCACCAGCCCAGGTACATGTGGCTGGCGCCCTAACCACTGAGCTATGGGCGCCAAACCTTTAAGATTAAAGTAATACTTATTTTGACATCTTCCTGGGAATACAGAAATTCTATCAGAGCCAAAAGAAAACAAATAACTTCTTTGACCAACCTAGATGACAGGATCTAGGTTAGTGACGATCTGATTTTTTATTGGAGTATCGGACTATTTCTCTTAAGATGATTCAAACCCAAACAGTGAATTAATTATCCAGCTTTACTATCATAAGGAAACACCTTAAACTTCACGAAGGTTATTCTTCGTAACCTAATGTTTTGCCCCAGAATACTTTAAGTTGTACTTGGTCAGTGTAACAAAAGTTTTTGTCTTGTCATTTATTATATATTAATTTGTTCTGTTAGTGGAAACTTATGCCAGCCATTTATTATATTATTATGATAAGCAGGGCCATCTAAGGCTTTTATTTCCTAAGACACAAGAGAAATAAGGATCTAGTCTCTGCAGCAAAGTCTCCCTAATTTGATATCAGATTAATTTGTTATCTGGGGATGGGTTAGATCCCACTTTTTACATGTCTTTATGGCTCACTACTTATACTTTGTAAGTAGGCCTTCCTTTCCTGGGTACAATTTTTACTTTTTCCAGGATTACTTGACTTACTCATAGTTCTCTATTTTCTTCTTTCTCTACTAATAAGTGAAAAACAAAAATACCCTGGGTTTTGTAAACAGACATATAAAAAAACCCAAAATGCACATATATTTTATAACATCATTAAAACTTTTAAGCATCCTACTATAGATACTTTTTTGTATAAAGATAATGTGTTTTTGTTTTTCTTTTTCTGAAACACAGTCTCAAGCTGTTGCCCTGGATAGAGTGCTGTGGTGTCACAGCTCACAACAACATCAAATTCTTGAGCTTAAGCAATTCTCTTGCCTCAGCTTTCCAAGTAGCTGGGACTACAGGTGCCCAATACAATACCGGGCTATTTTTTGGTTGTAGTTGTCATTGTTGTTTGGCAGCCCGGGCTGGATCCAAATCCACCAGCTCTGGTGTATGTGGCTGGTGTCCTAGCTGCTCAGCTACAGGAGCCAAGCCAGAGATAATGTTTTTTGTTTCGTTTTTTGGGGGTGAAACAGAGTCTCACTATGTTGCCCTCAGTAGAGTGCTATGGAATCACAGCTCACAGCAACCTCAAAGTCTTGGGTTTAAGTGATTCTTCTGCTTCAGCCTCGCAAGCAGCTGGGACTATAGGTGCCTACCACAACACCCGTTATTTTTTGTTTTGTTGCAGTTGTCATTGTTGTTTAGCAGGCCTGGGCCGGGTTCGAACCCATCAGCCTCGGTGTATACAGCTGGCACCATATCCACTGAGCTACGGGCGCCAAGCCTTGAGACAATGTTCTGTACATGCTTAACATTTTTAACATATCAATATTAACTTGTGGTCTTTTCAAACTTATTTCCACAAACTATAAATTATTGGAGGTTTTTCCCTACTTAATTTGGCACAGTTTTTCCAATGGAAACATCACTGAACTAGTCCTTTCTTCTTTCAGCAATGCCCTAGACAACCGTAAAAATATCCTGTCTTGGCTCAGCACCTGTGGCTCAAGCCACTAAGGCAGCAGCCACATATACCTGAGCTGGCAGACTCGAATCCAGCCCAGGCGTGCCAAACAACAATGACGGCTGCAACCAAAAAATGGCCAGGCATTGTGGCCAGTGCCTGTAGTCCTTGCTACTTGGGAGGGAGGCAGAGGCAGGAGAATCGCTTGAGCCCAGGAGTTGGAGGTTGCTGTAAGCTGTGATGCCATAGCACTCTACCCAGGGCAATAGCTTGAGGCTCTGTCTCAAAAAATAAACAAACAAACAAATAAATAAATAAATTCTGTCTTTTCAGCAATGATGGGATGTTCAAACTCATCATGATTATCTTCATACTCCAAGATGGATCAGCTATCCTTTAAGAATCTCTGATTTATTTAGCATTCATATATTCATAACATTCATACATTCATACCTGCTCAACAGATATTTACTAAAGGAATAAAATAATAATACAGACTGAACTCTATGCACTAAAAACACACAGAAGAGCTGGTGATGGGCAAAAGTGGTACTGCCTATCGTCCAGCAACAAATCAAGAGAAGATCAAGATTTTTAAATGTACCTTTTCCAATTTTTTATCATGCCCTTATCTTATAATACAAGATTTTGTTGAACACTATGAATAATTAACTACACTATGACACAACATACATGACATTCACTTTGGATCAGTTACTAAGAGATACCTTGAAGAAAAAGATCCACCCTCTAGTATAGCTGACACCAAGGCAAAACTGGCCTTGTCAAGAAAGCCTTCACAATTAAAAAAAAAAAAAGCCTTCACAATATATATTCCAAATGCTATAAACAGAGGAAACAAACATTGCTTTCAAATTTGAGCCCCCAAATCACATTTGAAGTAGTAGGTACTGACTGTGCCTGAGCTGCTGCTCCCATAGGCAATTCTATGTACCATGGTCCAAGGTCAAGAGTAAAACTGATTTTACATTTAAAAATGTATCGTAAGCATTAGTCCCAGTTATTCAGAAGGCTGAGGCAGGGTAATTGCTTGAGCCCAGGAGTTGAAGGCCAGTCTAAGCAACATAGCAAGACTCTGCCTCTTAAAAAGAAAAAAAAAAAGTATAATAGATCGCCTAGTTGTAAAACAATTCATATCTAACTAAGCCTTCTACTTTTAGGCAAAGATAAATTTTCTTTATATGAGTCTACCCATGAAAACATACCTTTAAAGTTTTGGTGGTTCAGTGTAAATGTTGGATAATATTTTTTAGTCCTAAAAAATGAATGAATTCATTAATTAATTAAAATAAAATTTGAAATGAAAAGAAAAAATAATGTTTCTCAATCAAATACAATTTAAACTATTTTTCATTTTTAAAAGACTTTCCAAACTCTGTTCTCTTCAGATTGTATAAATCTTTTCCCTTTTAAAAGACTTTCCAAATAGGATATATTTTTGCTACATCATCCTAATTATTTTTATAATTATTATAATTCATTAACATTTCAAGTGATTGCAAAAATGAAGATGAGAACTGAAAAATTAATGGATGAATTAAGGAGTGTACACAAGCTAAATTACATTTAAATCTGAAAGCAACTTTGGAAGTGAGTGTTTGCCAAAGAGGGTAGAAGGGTCAGGGAAAAAAAATTATGTTGTCTGACTATTTACATTCTCAAATACACTGAGAATTTGTCATTATAGTTTTAGATGTAAATAAAAGTCATAGGGTACAAGTGAATCTTTCTAAGAGCAGAATATAAACATCTTAACACAATAACTAAAAAAATGACATAAAGGCTATGTTAACCAGTTTGATGAAAGTATTTCAAATTGTATATGAAAACACCACACTGTACACCATGATTGCATTAATGTACACAGCTATCATTTAACAAAAAAATATATATATGTATCAGTCTTAAAGAAGTACGTTTTGGAGGCAATATTGATTAATGTGCTTGATTTTATCTTAATACATTAGGACAGGCAAGCTGTGAGCATTGTTAGTGAGGAAACAGCATTCCATCAATAATCTCTATAGAGTTTATTGACTATTCTTAAAACTGTTTATGTATTAAAAACAGAAGTTATTAATTTGTTACCTGTGTGACTCTATCACAAATCTAAGACACAGTCTAAAATTTCTTTGCAACAAATAAATTTCTTGAACAATGTCATAAAAAAATAAATAAATAAAAGTCATTAGGGTGGCGCCTATGGTTCAGAGTAGGGCGCCGGCCCCACATACAGGAGGTGGCAGGTTCAAACCCAGCCCCAGCCAAAAACTGCAAAAAAAAATAATAATAATAATAAAAGTCATTAACTGGAAGTATCTCACACATTACTTGTCTTAGTTATTTTTGACAATAGGCAAAGAAAAGGTAAGAAATACTGACGAGAAGACATTGAATGCAAAATAAGGGCTATGACTAATCTGCAATTTTGATCATCTGCCCTTTGATAATTAAAAGTTGATTGAAGAAAAGCAATCAGCTATTTTTCCCTTAGCCTAATTCAGTGCACAAATGCAATCAAGATATCTTCCTTTAAAAAAAAAAAGCTCTTGTTTTAGCTGTTTTAAGAGCAGTTTTTATGCACCAGGCATAGCTACTTGAATCCTAAGCAAAAATAAATTGAGCATTCTCTCCTGTGCAAAAAGAAATCAATATGTGCTGTCTTAAAAATGGACATGAAACTACTTGTATAGAATAACAATTTATATAAGGCAAATAGAGATGAATGTTGATTTTTTTCCTCAAATGTGATTCTTCAGAAAGAACAAACTGACTGAAAACAAAATAAAATCATACTTTGAGTTAAGAGGATATTTTCCCTGATTGCAAAAGACCTAAGTCTAAAAATACAGTAGATTTCCATCTGAATTATTACAAATAGTGATTTACATTAGGCAATGAAAGGTGTAAGCAGCAGTGCCCAGAGACAAGACTGCAGCGGAGAGATGCAAACCAGGTTTATTGAAAGGGGAGGTTAACCCACCTGGGCAGTGCAGAGGTGGCATCTGACCTGGGGTCAGTTAGCGACTCCTTTTATAAGGGGATGTGAGGGATAGACAAATTTCATAGCTTTCTGGGAAGGCTTTGGTGAGTTAGGGTTCTTTGGTATGAACTTCAGGGGTAGAGCTAACTAGGTCCTTTGTGTCTTTTTCTTAGAAGGAGAGGAGGAGGAAGGGAAACAGTTTGTGTGTGGCTGCATTAGGCCCCCCAACATTCCCAACTGGTGATGGGAATGATGATCTATCTTCCAAAATTGCTTCTGGCTAAAAAGGGTCATCGTTGTCCTCAGTGGGATGAGCTGGGTATTGGCAGGACTGTGTCGGTTTGGGATACATTGGGGAGGGTCTGGGAGTGGTAGAAATTGGGTGGCAACTGTGGCTGACATCTTTTTTACCCTGGCCTGAATAAATGAGAACAAGAATTGGATGACCTAAAGGGCAATGGTCAATAACAGGAGTATTACAGTGAGGGGGCCCAAGAGGAGTAAGATCCAGTGTTCTCATGGGCTATTGAACCAGGGTTCCTCATTTTGAGATCACAGGAGGGTAGCTTTGTTAATTTACTTACCTGTGTTGGAGAGTAAATTACTTAAAGCCATCCTTGTGTGATGAAGTTGATCCCATTTTCAAATCAGATATGTCAGTCAATTGAAAGCCATTCCCATGAGTCCATGGGTACAGAGGATATTGATTTAGGGGACCATCAGTTCTAGAGGTGAATGCAATCTCCTGTTTTGAGATTATACTCCCCCTTCTAGTGCCTTTCTCATTTGTTGAGAGGACACAGTTCTGAGGTTCTAGCAAAAGATGGCTCTAGGGCATTTTATTTTAGGGACACAGAGTTGTAGTAGGGACAGGGCTCTGTTCTGTAGAAGGGTGTGGCCTTTTAAGTAACTAACTCTAGAGAAGAATTAAAGTGGTAGCTACTAATAAAAAAACCTTACTGATTTCAGAGCTGCTGTCAGTCCCATTCCTCTTTCTCCATCCTATCACCACCCAAAGCCAGCAGCTAGAGGGAAGCTGGCAGTGGCGGGCAAAGAGAAGCCAGCTGGGCAGAGAGAAGCTGGGTGAAGGGGGTGGGGGAGGCAAGGCAGTTGCCAGGTCTGTGAGCTCACCCAGCCCTGCCCCGTCCCAGCTCACATGCCCTTACCCATGTCAGCTGCAGCCTGGGGAGTGCATATGGCCTCCTGCCCCCTCTGCTGCCAGGTCTGCAGCCCCCTGGTTCCAAATCTTGCACCCATAGCCTTGCCTGCACTGGAGGGAAGGGCTTGTGGCTATTGGGCGGGGGAGGAAGCTGTGAGATGTCTGCAATGGAGAGAGCATGAAAGGACTGGTGGGGTGGAGGAGGAGGAGGGCCTTGAAGCTTCAGGGTGGGTTAGGAGGTAGAGGAGGGTAGGAATTGGAAGAATCCCTGGAGGAAGGAAGATAGAAAAAAAGATAATGGAAGATAGAGGGGAAGATGTTCCAGCAATGACTTGTATAGGGAGGGGTAAGAGCAGAGGGAGAGGAAAGGCCTGAAGACAGGGGATTTTCTTCTATGTGCTATTTTGGGGGGGGGGGGGGGGATTAAGTTCTTTAAGACATTAAAAGTAAAGGTCCCATTTTCTAATTTGCACTGAGCTCAAAGGAGACAGCCCTGGGGTGTCTCTGTTGAGGGGGATAGAAGTGTCAGCTCCTATATCTCAGATTTCTCTCCCCTACCTGGGGAGAAAAGAAAGTGTCTCTTGTTTTCCAAGACCCAGAGCATGGCGGAGCAAAAAAAGGAAAGCCTGAGAAAAGTCAGGCATCTCCAATTTTTTTCTCAGAAAATTTGAAGTCCCTGGGACTTTAGAAGCCTAAATGAGGGTTCTATGCTGGGCCTGAAGTGAAAAATGAAATAATTTGAGGGTCCCAGGACCCAGAAGAGAGCACAGAGCTGAAATACAACACTCTAGTTAGGAGCGAATGAATGATTGAAGCAGCAGCTAGAAGCCTAAACTAGGGTCTAGCACTGAGCCTGAAGTGAAAAATCAAACGATTTTAGATTCCTGGGACTCAAGAAGAAAGCACCGTGCTAAAAAACCACCCTCTAGTTAGACATGAACAACGAATGAAGGAAGAAGCAGAGAAGGAGGCATGAGGACATAAAGGTATGGAGCAAGCCAGAGAACGAGTAAAAGGAGATTCTATTTAAAGGTATTTAGCTCACCCTTAAGTGGCAGTTGAGGCAAAATTCTCTGGGATTCTCTAACAGGTCAGCAGAGTTGGGTTTGGGTACAATCAGGCTAGGATCTGAGAAAACTAGGGTGACTAGGCAGGCTGACAGCTAGCCTCCAATCAGTTGCCAGTCCCAGGTTTTCAGCACCCTTTGAAAGGTGTGCAGTGGTGCTGAGAGAAGACTGGAGAGGACAGGTTCAGACCAGGTAGGTATACTTGAAAGGGAGTGTAAACTGCCTGGGCAGTACAAAGGTGGTGTCTGCACCCAGGGTCAGTTAGAGACTCCTTTTATATGGGGCTATAGGGAGCGAGCAAATTCCACAGCTTTCCCAGAAGGCTTTGGTGAATTAGGGTTCTTTGGTATGAACTTCAGGGGTGGGGCTAACTATGTCCTTTGTATTTTTGTCTTAGGAGGAGAGGAAGGGGAGGGGAGGGGGACAAGTTGGAGAAGGAGGATCAGGAGAAATCCTCCTTCATGCTATGCTTTAAATTTGTCTTTTAAATAATATTATAGAGAATCAGCTTACCTTAATCTGATTCAATAACTCTTATAAAATTAAACATCTAGAACATTGATTTTCAACTGGTATGCTATGAAAATTTCTAAAGATCATTAACTAAATTATTTTCGAAAGAAGTTCAAAACACAGTAAGTATATTCTTTAGTTTATTCTTTTTTTTTTTTTTGATGAACATAATTTAAGTGTGCTACAGAAGTTTTAACTATAGGTTCAAGTGTGCCATGAAATAAAAAGGTTAAGAAACACTGATATAGAATGTTTGTAAAATAATGTTTATGCTGCTAAAGAGACAATTATTCAAAAATATACATAATTCCAAATCTCCTAAAAAATGAATATTCATCTTAGATGTGCAAAATGGCCCAAAAAACCGCACCAATATAAGGAAGCCAAAAATTACTATACTTACTGTAACAGAGATTCATCTTGTTCTGAATCATCTTGAGGTTGCTAGGAAGAAAAACAGTTTTTTCTAACTGGTAAGTATTAATCCAATGCAACAAGCAAAAAAATTAACATTTAAGATAACTATGGTGTTATTCTTTCTTCACCTCTTCTTTAAAATTGTGGTAAAATACACATAAAATTTACTTTTATTCATTTTTAAATGTACAATTCTGTCGTACTAAGTATATTCACAATGATGAATTCACATCCAGAATTATTTCATTTTCCCAAAGTGAAACTCTATGCCAATTAAACACGAATTCCTCATTCCCCTCTTTCTCACCCACAGCAGCCATCATTTCACTTCCTGTCTCTTACTGACTACTATGGAAACATCACATAAGAATAATCAGACAATATTTATCATGTTGTGACCGTGTATCTGTATTTCCTTCCTTGTAAGGCTGTATAGTATTCCATTGTATATACCTATCAATACCACATTTTGTTTACCCATTCATCTGCCAATGGACTTTGGCACTGCTTCCACCTTTTTTGGCTATTGGGAACAATGCTGCTAGGAACATGAGTGTACCAAGATCTCTTCAAGGCCATGCTTTCACTTCTTTTGGGTATACATTTGGAAGTGTAATTACTAGATCATATGGTAATAATTTTTTAAGGAATCATTTCATTTTCCACTGCAGCTGTACTATTTTACATTCCTAATTGCAATGCACTTTCTCCGCATCCTTGCCAACGTTTGTTATTTTGTTTTTTCTTTTTTTTAGTATTTTATTAGTATTTTTTACTAATAATCATCCTGTTAAGTATAAAGTGATATGTCATTGTGATTTTGATTTGCATTTCGCTAATGATTAGTGACAGTGATCATCTTTTCATATGCTCATTGGCCATTTGTCTCTCTCCTTTAGTGAGAAGTTTATTCAAGTCCTTTGCACATTTTTAAATTCAGTTTTTTGTTTGTTTTTTTTTTGCAGGTGAGTTGTAAGAATTCTTTATATATTCTGGATTATCAACTCATTTGATATTATTTTCTAGCCATTCCAAGAGTTGCTTTTCCACTGTGTTGATACTGCCTTTTGATGTTCAAAAATTTTAATTTTCATGAAATCTAACTTATGTATTTTTTTGTTGTTGTCTGTGCTTTTTGTGTTATATCTAAGAAATCATTGCTAAATCATTGCCAAGATATGTTATGATATTTTTCCCTTTTGTTTTCTTCTACGAGTTTTATAGTCTTGGCCTTATGTCTTTGTATAACTAATTTCTATAAAAAAATTTGTGAAACTTAAGTGAAGAGAAGGGGATGTGTTCCTTTTTTATTCCTAAGTTTTTTTTTTCCTTTTCATTCATCTGCAATGATTCTGAGCAGCCATTTTTGTCAGGTTCTAATTTAATATTTCCCAAGAACCAGAAATTATATGACATCTCTATTAGTGTTAAATTCTAAACAGCTTTGGTCTAATTTTCAATCATACCAGAAAATCTGAAGTTGTTGTTGACAGTATGGTTGATCTTATAGAAAAAAAGTCTATTAATTCATAGTTTTTTAGTAAGGGCTAAAATCAGTCATGAGTTTTCTTTCTGCTCTTTCTCTCTCTAGCTGGCAGATACCCTATGAAGCTCTATTTTCACAGCATCTGAAAAGAGTTAGACAGACAGAAAGGAAATGTAAATCTTTCTTTTACATTTACCAGCTCACTGCCTTTTAGAATCTCTTTATAGCTTCAAGGAGTACCAGGATGAACAATTAGAGTGCAAGTTTCAGGCCTTAGCCTTATCTTGAGGACAAAATCACCACCAGGATCAAAACCACCTGTGATAAGTCTAGCTCAACAGCAAGGCGCTCCTTATCATCCAGCCACCACGAAGATAAAGGAGTTATCTTTATCACAGTTTCACAGTACTTTATTAATTTTACTACAATCACTATTTTTCTTACTCTTTGTCCTATAACTACAACAGGCCTCTTGGCCTCACTGCTGGAATTTCTCTTCTCTTTCTTTGGGATGCCATGCCATCTCCCTGCTCTCTTTTTCCTTCTCTCTCCTCACTCTCCTTCACTCTCTCACTCCCTTTCTAAGAAGATAAAATAAATTTTACATTTTTATATCTGAATCTTTGTATGAAGAAATCTTTCCTAAATCTGCATGCAGTAGCTCTCCACCCTAACGGTTGTGTTCCTTAAGTGATTAAGGCAAAGATCTCAATGAATGGAGGTTTATTAAGCCAAAGTTTGAGGACACACCTTGGAAAAGCACAAGCCACACATGTATCTGTGTCTTTTTTTTCCAAAGAGGGATTTGGGACCTTAGTATTTAAAGGGAAAGGGCATTAAAAAAAAAAAAAGGAGAAGAGGGGTGATTAATGAAGCAAATGGTTACATTCTTGTGAGGTCCAGGAAATCTACATTTTACATAAAGTGAATGTTTGAAGAGAAAAAGGGAGAAAAAGAATCAATTATGACAGCAAAGAATTTTCTTATGAGTGATATGTGGGGATGATACAGGGTTCCCACCATTCAGAACTGGACAAGAGCCCCTGTTTTCTAGGCCTAAGCAAACAGACTTTTTCTCTCCAAAATGCACTCTCTGAATACAAGCAAGAAGTGAAAAAAGCATTTTTTCTAGTATTATATGTAAGCTGGGCCTTTTCTACAGTGGACTCCTTGTCATTTTGCCCAGAACTGGAAGGACTACATTCATTTGTTAATACACTCATTCATTTGCTAATCAACATTGAAGTCTGCCAAATCCTGGCCAAATATAATTCTCAAGATCTCTCTATTTACAAAACAGTATATAACCCCTTGACAAAAGACCCACATGGGACTTCCCACTTGGATCTTCCCTACTCTCCCAGAGCCTCTGGTACCTTTCATTTCTTCTATTCCTATCTATCTAATAAAGCCTATCTTATCACTGATCTTTGTGGTCTGTGGATTCGTTTTTTGAATCTCTGAGACCAAGGATCTACTGTAGAAAGAAACTGCATCAACAGGGGCAGTCCTTCATAGACACCTATGGCCTTTTACCTTTTCAGAGGAGATATGACTAATGCATAATGTTATTCACAGCTATTCATTTAGAAGGAGGTTTTGCATGCCCTCCTTTTTTTGTATAAGCAGTTGAGAGTTAGGAGTCTTGAGATTTTTATTATCCTTTCCATTTTCTAAAAAGATAAAATGCTTCCACTTTAAAATTTCTTTTTGTTTTTTTTTTTAGAGACAGAGTCTCACTTTATTGCCCTTGGTAGAGTGCATGGCATTACAGCTCACAGTAACCTCCAGCTCTTGGGCTTAGGTGATTCTCTTGCCTCAGCCTCCTGAGTAGCTGGGACTGTAGATGCCCGGCCACAACACCTGGCTATTTTTTTTTTTTAATTGTGGTTTGGCCAGGGCCGAGTTTGAACCTGCCACCCTCGGTATATGGGGCCAGCACCCTACTCACTGAGCCACAGGCACCGCCTCACTTTAAAATTTCATAGACTACTCGCTTTCATCACTTTAAAAGGAATCCTTACCTCAAATATGTTGTTAACATCAAAGATCTTTAGGAAAAAAACCTCTCTTTGGGAGGCCTCTGTTTCTATGATCAATAATAAAGCTTTCTGAAAATAAGCCATTAGCCTAAATTTTCAAGCATTTTATTGTTCACTAATACAGTCATATAACAAAATAAAAATAATAATAATAAATCACTCTAAGAACTTTATCTTCTCCAATTAATGGTCACTGCTATTTGTTGATAATACTTGGCTACATATGTAAGGTTATATTGGCTCCACATGTATACAAAGCTCAGAGGCCCAGAGAAAAAGAATTTCAAGAGATAAACCTAGAGAGAGTTTAATGCTTATACACTTACTACATATTTCTGTATCTCCACAAAGCAATTCTTTCAAATACCTATAATATTCACTTCATTTACCTTACTTACTAAAGAATAGTAATATTCCTACTGAGGGCGAATTATTCACTTCACCCTAACAATATAAAGTAAATGGAAAAGATAAGAAAGTAAGTAAGAGGGAAGGTTGCTCCTGACACTTAATTTTATTTCCTCCTCTTACAAACTACAACCCAAGAGCTAAAGTGACTGAACACAGTAGGGGCTGGAATTGTTCATTTGTTAATTAACAATATGCAAGGACACACTTCAGTAAATTATTTCATAAGGGACACAAATTACTTTCTATCTTTTTGATACATATAACTGCATTTTTCTCCTGACCTTATCCCCCAACATTTTGACCCGGCATTAAAATGTAGAGTTTTCCTATTGTTTCATTTTCTGAAAGTAATGAAAGTAAGAGAGGTTAATATTGTTAGGATCTGGAAGAGGAGCAAATCTATTAACATATTCTGAACCAAAAACAATCTTCTGCTATGTAAGATCACTCTCTTTCACTGAGTCACAGATTACTGAGAGTAGAGTGGAAGGATTCTGGCCAAGCAAATCAGCTCAACCAACCCTAGATATCCAGGACACATAGGATGTCTCACACAAACTATTTCACATTCAGTAGAACAGAACACCCATTACTGGCATTCAATAAATAAAATATAAACAGTTAATTAAAATATATTTTGTATGTTGTATGATTATATACTACATTCTTACATAATATAGTAATATACTATAAGAATATAGTATATAATATTGATCAACTGCTAAGAATTATATTTTATATGTTGTATGATTATATACTACATTCTTACATAATATAGTAATATACTATAATAAGAATATAGTATATAATATTGATCAAGTGCTAAGAATATGTGCTTAAAATATCTTTCTCTCAGATTGAAGTACTCAAATTTAGGGATTTTTTTTTTTCTTTTTTTTTTTTTGAGACAGGGTCTCCCTTTGTTGCCCAGGCTGGAGTGAAGTGGCACAATCACAGTTCATCTCAACCTTAAACCCTTGAGTTCAAGCAATCCTCCTGCCCCAGCCTCTGAGGAGCAAGGATACAGGTACATGTTGCCATGCCTGGCTATTTTTTTTTTTTTTTTTGAGACAGTCTCAAAGTGCTGTAGCATCATAGCTCACAGCAACCTCAAACTCTTGGGTTTAAGTGATTCTCTTGTCTCAACCTCCCAAGTAGCTGGGACTACAGGCACCGGCCACAACGCCCACCCGGCTATTTTTTTGTTGCAGTAGTCACTGTTGTTTAGCTAGCCCAGGCTGGGTTCGAACCTGCCAGCCTGGGTCTACGTGGCCAATGCCATACCACTGCGCCACAGGCGCCAAGCTAATTTTTCTGTTTTTTGTAGATACTGTGTCTTACTATGTTGCTCAGGCAGCCTACTTCTGGGCTCAAGTAGTCCGCTAGCCTCAGCACCCCCAAAGTGCTGGAATTACAGGCATGAGCCACTATACCTGGCCTAGTTAGCTAACTTATTTGTGCCAAGGTGGTACTGAATCATCCTTTACTTTTCCCCATGATATCTGCATTAAAAAGAAATGAATAAATAAAAATTCTTAGGATATGTAAACACACATATATCCTCACACACAAGAAAACAGAAGGGTCTTTTTAGTGGCCTATATATCAAATTACACCATACAAACAAGTATCTTCTTCACAAGTCTAAAATAATCTCTGACATGAAATGAAGATGAAAATTGTAATGATTTTACCCTATTTTAACTTCTGTTCTTCTCACTTCTACATCTATACCAGAAAGAGAAATATATTACATAAAAGTTATAAGAGAGGAAAACAAGAAATGCAGTTGACTCTTGAACACAGGTTTGAACCACGCAGGTTCACTTAAGATACAGATTTTCTTCCACTTCTGTCACCCCTGAGAAAGCAAAGCCAACCCCTACTCTTTCCTCCTCTGCCTATTCAATGTGAAGATGATGAGGATGAAAAGCTTCATGATAATCCACTTTCATTTAATGAATAGCAAGTATATTAATTTTTCTTCCTTATGATGTTCTTAATAACACTTTCTTTTCGCTATCTTACTTTAAGAATATAGTATATAATACACATAACATACAAAATATGTCTTAATTAACTGTTTATATTTTCAGTAAGGCTTCCAGTCAATAGTAGGCTATTAGCAGTTAAGTGCCCTGTGCCCCTAACCTTCAAATTGCTCAAGGGTCAACTGTATTTTAAATCTTCCTAAAACAACTGGCTTTCATCAAAGTTGCAGCAAAGAAAATAGCATAACTGGTTGAAAGAGGTAAAAACCTCTCAATAAATAATAAGGGAAGAGGAAACAAGCAAAATAATAGAAAGAATTATCATTAGTAATCTGCTACTCTAAGACACAGCATTTCCAATTTTTAATAAGCACATATTCAGTCAACATGTTACACACCTGTAATATTGTATCCTCACTAAGAACACACATCATTTTATTTTTACTCATTTGGTCTTGCAGATCCTTTCTGCATTTGAAATCAAGTTGAATCTCGGGAGAAGATACACCTAGAATAAAATATAATCATAAATCATTATTCTGCTTTGACAAATGACCCAAGGATTTTACAGATACGGCAGATTTTTATTAAAAATCATATTGAGCTTGGTGCCTGTGGCTCAAGTGGCTAAGGCGCCAGCCACATACACCCAAGGTGGTGTGTTCGAATCCAGCCTGGGTCTGCCAAACAACAATGACGGCTGCAACCAAAAAATAGCCAGGCACTGTGGTGGGTGCCTGTGGTCCCAGCTACTTGAGAGGCTGAGGCAGGAGACTTGCTTGAGCCCAGGAGTTGGAGGTTGCTGTGAGCTGAAATGCCATGGCACTCTACTAGGGGGATAGCTTGAGGCTCCTGTCTCAAAAAAAAAAAATATCATCTTGCATATCATAATTTCTTAACTACCACTTTTATGTGTCAATGTTTTCAAATCAATTAAGAGGTAACATTATACTAAACAAAACAATACTTGACATTTCTTTTTCTCAGAATGAATGAAGGCAAAGAATATATATAGAAAATAATACAGATTTAAGCACCACTAATACTTTTTCTTTTTAAGAGATATTGTCATCTTCGGTAGAGTGCGTGCTATCACAGCTCACAGCAACCTCCAGCTCTTGGGCTTAGGTGATTCTCTTGCCTCAGCCTCCTGAGTAGTTGGGACTACAGGTGCCCGCCACAATGCCCAGCTATTATTTTGTTGCAGTTTGGCCAGGGCTGGGTTCAAACCTAACACCCTTGGTATATGGGGCTGGTGCCCCACTCACTGAGCCACAGGCGCCACCCAATACTTTCTGGCTTTAACAGTTCAGGTCACTTTTTAAAACACAGCAACACTAGTATATAATTTCCAAAATGCCAGAGTTTTGTTTTCAAAATGATAAATTGAGGCCTTAACTTTCCTTCCCTTCCAAGTTCCTAGAAAAATATCCAAATAAATTATTAGGTTTGGGGTTTTTCTTTCTAATCTAAAGTAGCAATGTGGAAAAAAGGAAATAGGGCCCCTACAAAGCAAAGGATGGGATTAAAGAAAAAACAAACAGTAGTAAACACCTTGTTATGAACTGAATATTTGTTCCCCCCTCAAATTCATACAGTGAAGCCCTAACCTCCAATGTGATGACAGGAGGTAGGACCTTTGACCTCGTTTATAGAAGGTCTTGAGGGTGGAACCCTAATAATTGCTCATGTGATTCACATCTTTATGAAAAGAGAGGGAAAAAACTAGCTTTCTCTCCAAGCACAAAGAAAAGGTCATGTGAACACACTGCAATATAGCAGCCATCTGCAATCTGAGGGCTCTCACCAAGAACTAAATATGCCACCAACTTGATCCTGGACTTCCCAGCCCCTAGAAGTATAATAAATGTCTGCAGTTTAAGCCACCCAGTTATAGAATTCAGTTATAGGCTCTGCGTCCATAGCTCAGTGGCCAGGGTGCTGGCCATATACACCAGGGCTGGCAGGTTCAAACTCAGCCCATGCCTGCTAAACAACGACAACTACAAGAAAGGTGTTGTGGCAGGTGCCTGTAGTCGCAGCTACTTGGTAGGCTAAGGCAAGAGAATCACTTAAGTCCAAAAGAGTTTGAGGTTGCTGTGAGCTATGACACCACAGCACTCTACAGAGGGCAACACATGAGACTGTGTCTCAAAAATAATAATAATTTTATTAGAGTACCCCAAGCTAAAAAAGACACAGCTTGTCATTCAACACAGGAAAAGGAACAGGCTCCCTCAGAAGTACCCATGGATTTCTTCCCTCACAATTCCAAAAACCACCCAGGAGCTCGAAGCAAATCCCACCAACACAAGTTGGAGAAGGGCACAGTGGTTAAACTCCCATACTGCAACTTGCTATGGGAGGATGATTGAAGATAAGGATGACTGCACTAACCAGCTACTCTATGTGGGAGGACATTTTTCCTACCAGATATGTAAATGTGCTAAAAGCCAAGGATGATAAAATAATGCAGTGATGAAACAGAAATAGTCCAAATAGATCAACGAAACAAAAAGTATGAAACAGACCAATAAATATCTGGTAATTTAATATATGACAACAATGGCATTACTAAATAGTGGCAACAAGAAGGATAATCCAATAAATAATACTGGGACAACCGGTTAGCAATTTGAAAAAATTAAGTTAGATTCCTTCTTTTCCCATATGCCAAAATATCCCAAACAGATTAAAAATACAAATGTAGATGGCTGGTGAAGTGCCTTGGCCCTATAATCCCAGCACTATGGGAGGCCGAGGCAGGTGGATTGCCTGAGCTTACAAGTTTGAGATCAGTCTGAACTACAGTGAGACCCTGTCTCTAAAAAATAGCCAGTCATTGTGATGGGTGCCTGTAGTCCCAGCTACTTGGGAGGCTGAGGCAAGAGGATTGCTTAAGCCCAAAAGTTTGAGGCTGCTGTGAGCTAAGACACCACAGCACTCTACCAAGAGTGACCAAGTGAGATTCTGTCTCAGAGAAAAAAAGAAACATATATATATGTATAACGTATATATATATTATATATATATGTAAAATCTACAAATATAATAAAAGGAAATAAAGAGAAGGGAATGTATGTTTATGGTTTTGAGGCAGGTAAAGTATTTCTAATTTTGACAAAAAACTTAAAATACTAAAAATGTAAAAGTCCTTCACTACAAAATATATCATGAATAACATTAAATAATAACTAAGAAGCTCGGAAAAATTATTTATATATGCATGACAAATGTTTCCTGTCTTTAATATATAAAATGCTGGCCAGGTGCAGTGGCTCAATCCTCTAATCCTAGCCCTCTGGGAGGCTGAGGTGGGTGGATTGCTTGAACTCAGCCGTTCAAGACCAGCCTGAGCAAAAGCGAGACCCTATCTCTACTAAAAGTAGAAAAACTAGGCAGGTATAGCAACACACACCTGCCTTTGTGCATATATATATTTGTGTGTATGTGTATGCACACACACACGTATATAATGCTCTTATAAAACAATGAGATAAAAATACATTAGAACCTCCTTATATTGCCACCTCTTTAAATTGATCATAGACATACACCAATCTACTCAATGGAAGACTGCCTTCTATATGTTGACCACCTCTGTAAATTTTTTTTTTGAGACAGTCTCAAGCTGTCACCCTAGGTAGAGTGCTGTGCCATCACAGCTCACAGCAACCTCAAATTCTTGGGCTTATGTGATTTTCTTGCCTCAGCCTCCCAAGTAGTTGGGACTACAGGTGCTCACCAAAATGCCTGGCTATTTTTTGGTTGTAGTTGTCATTGCTGTTTGGGGGACCCAGGATGGATTTGAACCTGCCAGCTCTGAGCTACAGGCACCAAGCCATGTAAACTGTATCTTAACCACGTGGACTTTGAAACACAATATTAATTTATCCTCTATAACTCAACCAGTTGTGTCCATACCACACCAGTTGGTGAGTTTTGCCTTTTAGTTGTATTATTTTTCCTTTAGTATAAGTTCTTTTTTCATGTTTAATTATTACCACACATTGGATTAGACTTAATGGTCATATTGTTTGTTGCATGTTGCAGAACACAGACACATAAAGGACTGGTCTGCCTTGTAGGTACATCCTACAATTTACTGAAAAATTCTGCAGTTAATCAAGACATAATGGTCCAAAGGAAAGAACATAAAGAGCTGGCATTGGCTTGGCGCCTGTGGCTCTAGTGGCTAAGGCTCCAGCCACATACCCCTAAGGTGGCGGGTTCAAAT